CACTGGTTCACACGCATCATCCCCATGCAGAGGGAGAGATCCCCGCCCCACCCCCGCCCGTTCTTGCCCTGACGCCTCTTTTCTCCAGAACGACGAGCACACGCACTGACAACACCCATTCACAATCGCTCAGCCCTGCAAGCTGCCTGCCAGGCTGGGCCGCAGAGCAGGGGCTGTTTACAGGAAGGGGCGCAGGCTAGAAACGTGTTTGTACCGTCAACCGAACACAGGAGCCTTTTGTAACTGGCCTCTTCGCGCTTCTTTGCCTCCCAAAGCCCCTGGGAAGCCGGGCTGGTCGGTACGCACTGACAACACCCATTCACAATCGCTCAGCCCTGCAAGCTGCCTGCCAGGCTGGGCCGCAGAGCAGGGGCTGTTTACAGGAAGGGGCGCAGGCTAGAAACGTGTTTGTACCGTCAACCGAACACAGGAGCCTTTTGTAACTGGCCTCTTCGCGCTTCTTTGCCTCCCAAAGCCCCTGGGAAGCCGGGCTGGTCGGTTGGGGCGACCCTGGTGAGTTACCTCACGGACCCCACAGGGACTCTTACTAGGTGGCCTTAGAGCTGGGCAAGTGCTGGATGGAATGAAGCCACCCGAAGCCTCGTCTGCACTACACGCCCTGCGCAGCTGCCCCCTGCTGATGGCACAGCTGGTGCCCACGTGGTAAGATCTGCAGGGGCTACCTCCCGACGACTCCACCTACTCTCCTCGCCTGGCAGGTACCGGAGTCGTGGGCCAGCGCCCGGACGTCGGTTTATCGGGGCGAAGCCGGTGGGTTGTCGCAGACAAGGCCTGAGCGTTCATGTGTCAGTTTAACATGCTTCATGCCCCCTTGACGGCTCTTTTCTGCAACTGTTCTAGGAAACAAGCTTCGCTGGGCCAAGAGCCTCAAAATGTGAATTTTTAACTCAGACATTTACAGCAAAACTAGCAGCCAACAGCGCCAGCCTTGGATCTCGCTTGGGAGGAGGCAACCTGAAGTTCCAGCGGTGACCGATTAGCTGAAGAATTCAGCCAGCCCGGTGCAGAGTGCCACAGACCAGGCATTCATCCCTGGAGAGGGGAGGGAAACAGCCCGTCCGGTGCCAGTGTTCGCTGCTGGCTCACACTCGCCTCCTGGGCAAGGAGTGGAAACTCACGGCAGGTCTCGCTGGGCAGGCGGGTCCCTGAGCGCTGGGAGCCAGTGATCACAGTGTTCTGAACCCCAGGTCAAGGAGCAGGCCCGCATGGGGCAGACCCAGATGCT